TAATATATGGTCTCTCTCATTCTCTCTTTTTCTCTCTAGTTCATTCGTGCTCTGGCATGCCACATAAGTTGGAACGAATTGAGCAAATCAGAGCCACATCCGATGAGGTCACCTCATCGTTGGTTCTCCAGGAGCATCGCAAATTCTTGTCCACTCGTAGTTGCTTGATTTATCCACAACCTAGGAGACAACCAGAGAACAAGAGTACGTCCGGTGTACTTGAAAAATTTACCGAGTTGAAGTGGAGAAAAAACGAGAAGGAGAACCAAATGAAAGAGGAGTGCGGAGGAGAATCCGCAAGAGAAACAGTAAAAAGTCGTGGCACGTGACCCCAATGACCGGCAGAGTCAACTCGCTCAAGTAGCCAGGCTGTGCTCTTTGAACCGCGGCAATTTCGAATTATATATCTCCCGGAGAGCGGATACTTGGGGACACCAGAAGCTGTTTTAAAGATCTTGGTATGACGAGGGTTACGAATAATGAGCCCTGACCTCGACTCAAGAAGTCTAAGAGAGGATGGGGAAAAAAATTTATTGCTTCATGACACCTTTTCACAGATAAATGGAATCTTGTCATTGTCAAGGTAATCACCTTTTTTTTAACTAATTTATTAATTATCAAATAAATAAAGAATTTATGTAATAGAAAATTAAAAAAACATTAAAAGTATTGTATCCAAAAGAAATTCTCATAGATCATCATTATATTGGAGGAAAAAAAAGATTAAATTTAAAAGAATTAAATTAATTAAAAATAATTCAATTAATTTTTTTTTATTGGGATTATAGAGGATCCTCCTTTAATTACTTTAAATTCAATAAATTTCGTTTTATTTTAATGACTGAAAATTTTTATTAATTATAAATTGAGAAATTTTATTTATTATTAGATGGTAATTGTCTTGATTCTTAGAAATATAAATAATAATAAAAAAATAGGTTGAGCTTGAACAGGATGATCATACTATTTTTTAAAGTCATTAATCTCAAATAAATTGATTAATAGAGTAGAACTGCAATAATCCAGTAATGCAATTCTAGACAATAATCAATGTATTTTATAAATCTACTTTGTTCTATTAAAAGTTCCTATTCCACACATTGTACTTATCTATGAGTAAATTAACTTGTTTAATTCTTTTATTCATTCTTACATTTTTTTACGTTTATATCTATATGTATTTATTTAATAAACATTTTACTTTTTCAATTGCTTGACAAATAATTTAATTTCTCGTTATATTCAAATTTGTCAGTGGGTTTAACTATTTATTTACTATTCAGTTGTCCCTATACATTATGAACTTTATGAAGATGCTGAATAGTCAAAAATTGAGGTAAAGTTTCGTGGTTGAGGGCTTGTCTTGATGTAAACAAGCTTTTTAATAAAAGGTGTGTTGAATAAATAACCATACACAAAGTTTCTTTTTTTTGTTAGGGTGGATGAACCTTTTGTGGTTTATCTTAAATTTATATTCTAATATTTGAGTATGATCAAGTGATTTTTTTTACTTATCATTATTATTACCATTTATCAAAAGAATTTTGGTGTTGTCATTATTAATTTTTTTTTTTTTCAATTTCAGTCTGGAGTTCAAGGAAGGCAAAGTGCTATTTTATGTTAAACTTACTTCACTTCTAAACTAAAGGTAATTAGTTTAATTATATTCTTGATGTGTGCAAATGAGTTCTAAAAAATAATTAACTCGACTTTTCTGATAAACTTGATGATATTGCATTTTATAGACTTCAAAGTTTATAATTCCCTGAAATTATCGTTTCTTTCAATCTTTATGATTTTAATAAAAATTTTTTGGCAATCCAGGTCAATTTTAACGACTTTAACTCCACAAAAGTAATCATATCTATAAAAAAAAAAAAAAAGAATCGTTGTAAAATTCAAACAACTTTCACTGATTCATCAGTGAGTAATAAAAGAAATGGCTGTTTATTTCCGATGACTTTTAGGACATGCAAATAATCAATGGAATTTTTACTGATTCATTTTGAAGTTAACATAAAATATTCAAAATATATGATTTACACATCTCTTACATTGGACTTGAATACATTCAAATGATGAGTATAAAATAAAATTGAACAAAAATTCAATCCAACATCCTCAGTAATAAAACAAATCATTTTTTTTATGTCTTAAAATTCTTTAGAGTGAGATCCTGGATTGTTTGAAACAAACATAGAAGAGTAATGAATGATTTCAGGATGAATTCTAGACGTCTTTCAACAAAACTGCAATTTAGCATCCAAACTGACCAGCAATTCAGCACCAGGAAATTTCTTACAGGGCAATAAGTGAGAGCCGCTGTCTTAAGAATTTGGAATAGATGATAGCTCTTTCTCTTGACTTGCTATTTGTATGTTTTTTTCACGGTTTCTCTTTCCTTTCTTTATTCAAATGCGTGACGTATGTGCGCAGCAATCGTTTTCAAAGGAGTCTCTTCTTTCCCTGTACGTCGCTTGCGAGTATTGTACGGCTAAAACGCTAGTCTTCACTCAGCGAAGACAAATGATCGTTTCCAACGTGGGCCGACGTGTATTCTTGCCGTCGATACAGCATAGGTGAATGAAAAGTGGTAGAGGAGGTTGAAGATACTAGTCGTTATATATGTATTCATGCTTGTCTTATCCTTTGCCATACTCTCATACACACATTGGGATGCAAAATCAGGCGTTAATGCACTTTCATATATGATAGAAGATTGTGGATCTTGCTGATATCTTTTTGATGGAAAGATATCTTTCTGGGATGATTAGACCTCATAGTATGTGGGCGGTGAGATTGTTGATGATCCTGAAATCATAAACCAGATATGAAGAAGAAAAGAAAAGGTGGTGGCGAAGGAGAAGAACACTGAAATTATAATGACAAAAAATAGTCATAAAATCCGGAAGATGATGTCCAGCAGTAGCTTGGGAAAATAAAATATCTACTTTTAGTGGTAGAGTAAGCGAGACAACTGTGAGCAAATATTAAAATACAAATAAACGGTAGAAGCTTTCGGTAGTCAACGGTGGACTTGGTATGTTTAAAGTTGGAATGAGAATACAAATATTCCAACAATGTAGTCATACTGAACAAATGCCCAAGACAACCTGTCAAATTTCTATACTCAAAAGGTGTTCAATATGATATGAGGTAGCCCGTAGCCTTAATAAGTATACGATTTCTATGGATAATATATACATATATATCTAAATGATCATTTATCACAGGACTCAGGGGACATGTCCAAGTCTTCCAGCCGATGTAATTCCTAATCAGGAACGATTTAAAGTCATTACTTCCATCTGAAATATAAACAGAGATTAATGTAATGTCTTTAAAAGACCTGCGTCGTGTTCCTGGCGTGCGTAACGATCCATGACTTGACATTTGTGCGATATGGCCGCATATGGAATTAATTTACCATTAGTGAGTAAGTAATAAAAATGATTTAAATAATTCATCTGAAAGGGCTTGAAGAGTCGTCTTATAATATATGTGTTTTCTTGACAGGTAAGAGACGCTTGGAACAAGTGAACGTTTGGAAACCGTGGGTTGTTAGTCGCGACGACTATGACAGAAACAAAAAAAGGAAATAGAAGACTACGGTTCCGGTCCAGCAGCGCTTGGGGCAACGCGCGAGCTGCTCATAATCTTGTGACTCCCCTCCTGACTATTATAATATTAATGTAATGCTGCTGAAAAGGTGTGTTTGCCAGTTCTGGGTGGAAAGGTAATATAAGGGGGTGAAGAGGAGGAGGAAGGTGGTTTTAGCCTACGTAGAATAGTCTCGCCCGATATGGCGTGTGCCGCCACCACCGTCGTTCATTTCAGTCAATCGTCCCTACTATCTCTCCTCTGAATTCTCCCCACTTGATTGCAATATATATAAGTTCCAGGTTATCTCTATCTTACTCAGCTCCTCCAGTTATCTTTCTTTCTTTTTAGATGGCGGCAACTCGACCTCGTATCTTTATTCGGTCATGCGAAATAACCACACGAGCCCTCTCCGTGGCGCGCGACAGGGTGCCAGGGAGGAGAATCAGTCCCCCTCTTGCTTGGGCCCCGATGTGGCGCGTGGTTCACGCCCTTTTTTACATTTTACAACGTAAGATATACTACCAGAGAAAGACCTGGATGATGATGAGCGAGAAATTAATTCTCCAACGCTCGTTGAATAGTTGAATGACGATGGTAAAAATATATATTTTTCTCAATCGTTCGAGGGATGACAGATGAAAAATGGAAAATTTGATGTAGCTGTTGAAGAAATTGAAATCTCGCTTATATTCCCGCCACGAGGATTCGAAGGTGATAGTGGTGGTGAACACGTTCAGACAGCCAGTTTAGAGATGAGAGAGAGAAAGAGTCAAGATTTGAGTGAGAAAAGGATAGAGTCAAAGATACAGACACAGTTTCGCGTAGGCGCACCCCCACGCGGATGACGTCATGCGGCAAACGTTGGCAGAAGTTACCGGCACAAAGTACTAGTGTGTGCGTGTACAGAGTTTGGGTGAGAGTACGGGTGAAGGGGGGGTCAAATGAACGAATACGTAGCGGGGGAATTGAAGCAATGATGTGATGGAAGTGGAAGGAGGAGGGTGGACTAGTGTAGTAGGGTGTCGGGTAAAAGAGGGACGAAGTGAAGTAAAGAGGGTAGATAGGAATGAATGGAGATTGTAGACTGGAGGGACGAATGAGTCGTGGTGTTGATGGAGAAGGGATGGAAGAGGTGGCGCGAGCAAGCCGATCATCACGAGGAAAGGATTCGAAGACACTGAAAATATAGGAGTGGTGGTGAAAAACAAGGCACCCAACTCCTTCCCTTGCTGCTGGAGCACTTTTGGAAAAGAAAAGAGAAAGGACCGGTGTACTGCAGGAGGTTAGGGATGAGGAGAAAGGATGGCTAAGAAACTCAAGTATCGGGGGTAATACTAGGGTGATGTAGACGACGCACGTGACGTTGGCAAATCGTCTGATGTTTGCTGCTGCTACTCACCGCTCTCTCTCTCTTCTCCTCTCATCGTCATCGTCGTCGTCTCTTCGTTCACTCGGCACGCTGCTGGCCACTTCGTGCGCGACTCTTTATTAGTCTAGCGCGGGCCATCGCGAACCCTTGCCTGTTGTTAGCATCCGGTCGATCATCACTCTTTAATGTGATTGTTTTTTACTGTGTGTACATTTATCTAGTTGTTCTTGTATATATAATCCAACATATCAACATACGTTTCAGTATACATCACGATCTAATTGTGTTCTAGTGAATTTTGGTCCAAGGAATAATCTCATCAAAAAACGAGTACACGCGGAAATATTTATATATAAATATAACAAGAATTTTATCGCATCCGAATGAGAATATCTCTTGTCATTCAGTGAACGTCCTGTTGAATCTTAATGACGTTGATGTGAGACCACGTGAGGAAAAGATTTTGTTTTATTTTATTCACCCTTGATGTTTAAACGTTTTCTCGTGTACTCAGCGTGATATGTGTCAACGTTTTAATCATCAACTTCTTGATACTTGTCAACACCAACCGAGTATTCATCAAGACAATTTATTAATTCTAAGAGATACCAAGTTATACCGGTCGTTCGCGACAATTACGACGTTGGTGACGCACCGATCGACAGCGAGCACGACAATTTGAAAAGATGCTGGCGCTCGCGATGCGACGCGAACATACGACAGGACGTAGCAGTAATTACGAACCGGCGAATCCACTCGCTGGCTTTGAGCATCTTCAGCAAAATCCTTTTAGTCATCAAGTAAATGAATCAAGAACACGAGACGTTCAGGCTAATGAAGACGGTGAATTACAAGAGTTTGTGGATATCGCTCAAGTGCAGCAATTACTTCAGCAACAAACACAGCATCAACAACATCACCATCATCAACAGCCAGCGGCAACGTCTTGTCTATGGGGCACGGTTTACCCGCCACCACCACCAACAATAAGTTATCCATCAGCTCATCACCATCATCATCATCACCACCATCCACCAACTCAATCTCACCAATCAGGTAATTATTATTTCAATAATTATCCACAAGTATATACATATATGTAACATGATCTGCTTGTCTCTCATCTCGAATGGCTTCGATATATGCTTGACTTTTATTGGACTGAATGTGCACCAAGATTGAATTACACGTAGTTGCTGCATGCAGCTGTAGTAGACTATTTAATTTATCCGCATTTAGAAATCTTTGACATTATTTTCCGGGTGGGGCCAATAAGCTAGGTGATATTCTCTCAGTACTAAATTCATTGGTATATAAAGTGGCGTCGCGTGGAATCCATCGGGAAGTTTATGAGGGTCTCTTACAAAAGATGTTAACGAACGCACCAGAGAGTAGTAAGAAGAAGAATAAGAATAATAAGAAATGAAGAAGAAGACACAGCAGATGAGCAAGAGGAGGTTATAAGGAGGAGTAGAAAGAATGAAAGAAATAAAGAAAGAAGTCAAGCTACACACGGCATTCGATGGGTGTGTCTATACGCAGATACTTCTTGATCTTCTCTCACTTTTCCTACCATTTCAATTCTACCGTCGGATCGTAAAGACATCGTCTGTCCGACGTACGGCACAGGACGTTGTCCTCTTCGTTTCTCTATACCTTACTCGCTCGTCAACAGACAAGTTTTATTCTTCCTTTCTACTTATGTCTCGCTTCTTGTGGCAAATAAATCGAGCGTGACAAGCGCGGATGCGAATTAGCCCGCCGGCTGGATTTTTAATCGCCGGGAAAACGTCCAGCGACCGGTTGCTTGAGATGGTGGATGGATTTGCCATCTCTTCAAGATGTTCTTTCTGGTGGTTGTTAGGATATGCATATAGCGGTATATACCACCAGACAATTTACCACTAAGGCTTTTGCCAGACATCTCGAGATAGTAAGCGAAAAGGGATAGAAATATTCAGGGCTTGCCCGAAATGGGAATCGGACGATAATCGCGAGACAGCCGTGGATAAAAGGAGAAACATACGTAGACGACGACAAGACACAGAAAATAAGCAAAACGACAAGAGAGATATTTGTGCCAGCCACTCGCCGATCCACATACCGGTACTATCGATACTCGCTAAGTTGCTCCAACGTTCTCGCGTTATGGATAAATCGCCGATGATTCATCGACTTTGCCAACTGTAAGATTTAGAGTCCTCCATTTCTCTTTCTCATCTTCCACCTTTAAATTCTCTTGATATTCTCTCATAATACTTCAGTCCCGAAAAAAGGTTCCAATAATTACTCGTAAAAAATCCTCGTCTTTTCTGCAGTCGGGCCAAAAAGGTGCAGAAAAAGATGAGACTTGAATAAAATCTGAATAAAAAAATATCAACATCATCGGACCTGGCGAATCAGAAAGTGGAAAGGGGCAGTCGACACGTCGGATCGTGCGAGTTGCAAACAGATGAGAAAATTAAGTCGGCCTGTCGGAGTCTCTAATTCAACTTACGGTCTATGCACGTTAGAGAAAACGAGAATTCAAGAGAATAAAAGCCCGAGTCTGACCTAAATTTATCGGAATTACGGCGAGTAGGTAACGAAGGAATTGTCGTAAAAATTCTTTATTTTGTTATTTTTATTCTAGTTCTAGATTTTAATCTGCTAATCCAAATGTTATTGAAGACTCGAGATAGCTATAAATATATAACTCCATAAAATCATTCAATAGACATAAATAAAAATTTACTAGATCATTTTATTGAGCACACGTGAGAATATAATTAATTGCTTTTCAATTGATAATTCAAACCATCCGAGATTTAACGGTCCTGATATATGGTTAAGACTTTTTGTTATTCTTTCATTTTAAATGAGATTTTTAATTGACATGTACACACTTTCTCACTGAATATTGCCTTTAGATAATAACTTGATTCCTTGATAAAATTTACGACTTTTATGTTAGATATTAGAATTTCACTTGTTGAACATCTTGGAAGGTGATATAGGTTATTTATTATTATCGACGACTCGACAAGTATTTTAATTTGATTATCTCTGGAATTTTTACACTTTTTAAACGAATGGTTGAAACAAAAAATGCTCCAACTAATAAAAATGATTTGTAAAAGAAAATTATGGATATCGATAACGTCGAGAAACGATACATTAATGAGATGGAAAATATGATTATTAGTGTATGCATTTATTAATATATTTCGAACTGAATAAAATTGTTGTCATTATAAATACCGTAAGAATGAAACTACTTTATTTCGATGGAATATTTGATATGTTGTTGAAAAGGACAAAATTTGTGTCATGTTATACTTTTGGGAATTTTTATTAAAATTTTGACAGTTAAATCTTTCATTTCTAAAGTTCATTAATTGTAAGATGTAGCTATTTGAGTTTTTTGGAACAATGACAAGAGTCAAATTAGATTTGAAAATATCTCATTTCTGAGTATAATTGGGATAGTATAATATTGTTCATGTTCAACTTATAAATGTTCATAAAATGTACAAATTTATAAGCTTTTTTTTTATTAACATAAAATAATGGAATCATTATATTTTATTGTTAAAATCACAGATAGATATATTTTACATTTGTTAGCTACATTTTCTGTTTAATAATTCATTTTTCTATTTTAGAAATATTTACATTTATTTTCAAGTCCATTACAGACATTTTCAAATATATTGAAAAGTAAGAGCAACTAGTTTTAATGTCATTTAAACTTTAACTTATCCAGTAACGTGATTCTTAATATTCTGGGGAATAAAAACAATTGATTGTCAACAACACCTATTGTTTTTACAATTCTATTTTGTTCTGGTTTGAGAATAATTAGCCTAATCACAATAAAGTAAACTTTTCTAAAGTGAAAACTGGTGTTGACATCATGAAAATATGTTGGAAATTTTGATATTGGAAATAGAGTGTATTTATTAATATTAATGTGATAAAAGTTTATTCTAGAAATCTGAAATTGTTTAATTGATAAATATGATGATGGTGTGATACTGTCACTAATTTTCTCATTTTAAATCCTTGAATAAAATCATTTATAAAGAATGTAATTTTCTTATTAATGTACACATCTTTGTCAATTTTTATACAACTGATGCATCGAAGTTAATTTTTTTCAAATATAAATAATCTTTTGAAAATAAATTATTTTAATGCAAGATAATAAATAGTATTTCACAATCCAGACAAATAACTAGTTAAAAATATCCATTTCATATGAATAAATAAAATCAATCTTTGTTTTTATTTAATTAAAAATTTTTTAAATATAAAACCAATCATATTAAAAGCAGTCTGCTTTTTATTGTATTTTTCAAATCCCAAAAGTATTATTTATGTTTATAAATTAACTATAGATAAAGAACTCAACTTAATTAATAATTAAACTCTATTCTCTCCAGATACTGACACTAAATATTTAATATAAATACTCACAAAGGTCAAAAGTTAGAAACACAATAAAAGAATAGACTACAACATCATTTGAATTTAATATTAAAATTATTCCATTTAATTTCTGCAACTCCTCCACATAAAACTCCATTCATTTTTCCTACTTAATTTTTTTGATAAATAATACATAAACGAGAAAAAAATTATTTCAATTTCTCCAAGTTTATTAAAGTATTAAAACAGCAATAGCTATGATAACAAAACACATTCAATTAAGAAACCAACGGTATGATCTCGTGAGATGTTCTAGTAGCTTGCAAGCATATACACACACCAAAGATTATTTAATAATCCAACCTTCCTTAAGCACTAGTTTTTCATCATAATAGTCATAAAGGCGATTTGTCATCGTTTACAGTAAGAGTTGTAATGAGAGCAGAGTTATATACACCAATCGAAATACTACCAACGTCATTGACTCTGACGTCGATTACGACAAAGTAATCGATTTTTACTGTTGGTGTGTACTTATCATACTACGTAGGTATCAATCTTCCTGGTCATAGAATCGCGTGTCGAGTAAGTAAATAAAGGCTTTCTTCAGCGACCACAAAACATGAATTACGTCGGTAGAGCATCAAAAATAGCATCATTGATATTTCAATCAAGTCATATCGGAAATATTCCAAGAGTGAATAAAAGACTCTAGGAGAAAATTAGCGTGGGAGCTCAATGCAGACACAAACCTGCCTTAACTGCACATCGGTTTAAAAATCGACGCTTTAGTTGCTGATGTTACGTACAGGAAAAAAATAAACAAGTTTTGAGGGTGGAATACTAACGTCAAGGATAGATTACGTCTTCTTTTCAGATCAAACATTTTAAAATTAACTGCTGATTACGAAATCTATTGATCTATACTTGAATAAAAGTATTTTTGAATTCAACTGCTATTCCATACAGTTTGAACAAACTTTAATCAACTATTGTTACCTTATAGTCATGTCGTTTATTAATATTCTATTTTTCTTATTCTTCCTTTACCCTACGTCAACGGCCACTTATGTTGCCTATACTTCATGCAAGGAACTCTTGCGGCTTTGACGTCGGCTTATTTCACATTCGATCGACCTCGGCATTATAATTTCTCTCTATTCAAACTTGTTTTCAAAGTTTATTTATATCTATTTATTTTTATTCCTATTTTTTATATTCAATCATCAAAATCGTTTTTATGGGATAGATATTTATGCACAGGAAAAATTATTAGGTGAAAATTATCATTAAAATGGAAAATTTTGTGATCTTTTAATCTAAAGTATTTTTAATCTTTAAAATATGTTCAAATAAAACCAACTAAAAAATTATCGAATCATTAGGTTCAAGTTTTTTCTTGTCATTTTTTGGAGATTGATTGATTAAGAATGAATTGTTTGTAGTATTGTTTTTTATTTGCCAAATGATTCTGCATTTTTTTATGCGATTGATTGAAAGCTAAGGGTTTCTCAATGAATTCTACGATTTGATGAATGAGATTAGAGTGAGGAATTGAGTTAATAATCAATAACAGAATTAATTATAAATTTATGGGAAAATAAAGATAAATAGTGGAGGTATTAATTGTATTTAATAATAATTAT